CACTCATACAGGAGACCCGCGCCCGTGACGCGCGCCGCAGGGCGGCCAAGCACCAGGCGGAACCTGTTGCAGACCAGCAGCAGCAGCGACAGCAGCAGCAGCACGAGGGGCAGCAGCAGCGGCCAGGGATGGGGCCTGAGCAAGGAGAGGCCGAGCAATCGCGGCAGCAAGAACAGGCGGACGGTGGTGGTGCACCGCGAGGCGGTGCCATCGGGGCCCAAGAGGCGGAGTCTGACGACTGGCAGTTTGTGCAGGACCATGGCCAGCAGCGGCAGCTCCAAGGCCAGCAGCAGCAGCCGCTGTCGCCGCCGCCGCCGCAGCAGCAGCAGCAGCAGCAACAGGAGCAGCAGCAGCAGCAGCAGCAGCAGCAGCAGAACGGTGAGGAGGCGGGTCAGGAAGCAGAACACGAGGGCCAAGGCGGCGCCGATGACGCGGGAGCTGCTAGCCCCAGCTGCGGCCGCGAGGCGGATGCGGGGGATGATGTGGTCTCAGAGTCTGACGCATCAGAGTTTTGACAGGATTATAGGCTGTTATGTCATGATCGTGGTGGTTGTTCTTCTCACCTTGCTTTGCAAGGCACTGTGCTGTTGCAGCGTAGCCGCATGTGTCTTTCTGGTTGGAGAGTGATGGGCTGCTGTGCTGGGCTTTGGGCCGCTGTCTGCGGCACTGTAAAGTGTTGCGCAGTGGGACCGAGCACAATGCTATACGTTGTGCACACAGACATCCGTGTTTGGGAGCTCTCACACCGCACGCTGCCTGGTGGGCCCAGCGTTTTCCAGCATCACTCGCCTGCAAGCGCAGTCACAGGAACAGGCACGGCATGCAGCGGGCGGTGCGACATGGATTCTTGCATACGGCATTCCCAAATCAGACTCCAGTGCTTGTGGGGCCCGAAAGCCGGCCGTCCCAGCCGGTGCTAAGACAGCACACGATTGTAACGCGCCCCTCATTGCTTGCTGGGCGGCTCCTCCGCTGCGTCACCGGGCCCCTCCCCTGCCGCCCGCTCTTCAACGCCGGCTGCCGCTTCGCCGCTCCCCACGCCGGCTGCGCCGCTGCCGCTGTCGGCGCCTGCCCCCGCGCGTCCGACGGCCGCCTTTGCCGCGGCCTCCCGCGCCTTCCGCTCCGCGAACTTCCCGCCGCGCCTCGGCTGCAACCCCCCACCGCTCGCCCCCTCCGCCCCTCGCTTTGCCGCCGCCTCTTTCGCCTTGCGCTCTGCAAATCTGCTGCCCCTCCGGCTGCCGCCGCCGCCGTCCTGCAGGGGGGGTCCCGACACGATCTCCGCCTCCACAATGGGTCCGTCGGGGCGGCCCTGGCGCGCACGCGCGCGGTCGCTCGGGATGATGGGTGACCCCGACACGTCGATGATAGCGCCAGGGCCGGGGCCCGCAGCTGCGGAGGCCGGCACCTCCACCTGATTACACGTGTCGCACATGGATGGGTTGCACACGGATGGGGTGGGGTGATGGGTCTTGGTGGATGTAGAGGAGAGCTCTGGCTGGGAACTTCAGCGCACAGGAAGCCGCAAAGAGTGCATGGTCTTAGATCAGGTCTCAGTGTAGTGCCGTAATGGTGCGCCTGTTCGTCCCCCTCATGAGAACCCACCTTGATGGTGTTTCTCATGTACACCTGAGATGCAAGTGCCAGGAATGCCAGTTTCGCGTGCAGGCGGGCAGGCAGGCTTGGTCAATGCGGCATCGCGTGAAAGGCGATACTCATCTGCATCCGACTCAAGGCACGCAGCGACAGGATGAGATCACGCCCGCAGCGAGTGCGCCGGCAGCTCGAGCTGTTTCGTTGACACGACAACAATGATTGCATTGAGTGCGCGCTTGTGCTTGCCTGCTGCCCGGTGGATATGATGTTGTTGACAAACCAGTAGAGCGTCAGGCCGCTCGGCACGTTCAGAGAGAACCAGCCTGCAGGGGCGGAGCAGAGGAATGGGTGAGCACTCGCGAGCGGCACTTGCGCGGCGCCCTGTTCGGGGCCAAAACCACAGTCAAAGCTGCCCTGCAAGCACTTGTATTCTAGTGGGCGTCATTCAACTTGGGGTTGATGCTTGATGACCATGTGTTGCATCCACCAATATGTTGTACCGGGTATTAGTAAGCAAGGTATCAGCAGCTCAGGATACTAGCACGGGGTACCAGTGAAGTACACACTGTGGACAGCACAGGGGCCGAAACTTTGATGGTACTGCACCTATCATGAAAGGTATGAACTTGAGGATGGCCTGGCTCTGCTGCGCCACCGGGTCGTCGCTCTTTGGGCTGATTGCGTTCTGGGAGGCGATCTGGGACGCCACCAGCAGCACGGGCAGCACGAGGTATGCAATGGCGTCGTGCCAGCCGACCGGCGGGGCGCCGTCGACAAAGGGGAACAGCCAAGACAGGCCGGAGCCCTGGGGTGGAGGGGTGTGGCATGCGCGTTGACGAACGAGGGATGCACAGGGGGTCAGTACTGCAAGGGATTCCTATTCGAATAGTCGACGTAGGCAGGATTCTTTGACTGCAGAAATTCACGGGGGCCTGGTGAGAGTTTTGGAGAGGGGGTGTTCGTCGTGCGCGGCCTGGGCCTCCCAGGGACGCTGTGGCGCCACGTGGGCGTTGCAGGCGGACTCGAGGCTGCCGCCCGCCCACCCCCGCCCTCAAGGCGCCGAGCCCCGGGCAGGGCGCACCTCCTGCCGCATGGCCAGCGTGGTGGGGCCCCCCAGCGAGGGGATCCAGAAGAACCCGCTCGTCAGCAGGCCGTCGTCGGCCGCCTTAGTCAGGGCCTGTTGTAAATAGCGAAAGATATAGCCAGAGGGCGTGATGCTTTTGAATGGCGGAGACCCGTGAAAATAGATGCCATCAGAGGGGACCCCATTCAAATGCATGGAGCCGACAGAAGGGGCTGCGCGGGAGTATTTCAGGGCGCAGTTGCGGCAGGGCGAGCGCAGTTTTTGGGGTCGCGCGGGGTGCTGCGTTGACAGGAAGCCCCGAGAAACTGCCATCGTTCAGAGTTGTTCGGGGCTGGGGCGCGCCTTGTAGAGGCCGATGAACACAGGTATGGTGGCCAGGGTGGGAAGGCAGCCGGCCAGGGGGTTTACGCCGGCCTCGCGGTACAGCCGGGCGGTCTCCAGCTGAGGGTTGGATGATAGAGGGGGGAGGATAAGCAAGGGAAGGGTGATGTGCGTGCGTGTGCGTGCGTGCGTGCGTGCGTGCGTGCGTGCATGCGTGCGTGCGTGATGTCAGGTGGGGGCTGGTGCAAATGAATGACTCCCACATGTGATGGGGGGCGGCAATGATGTACGGGTGAGAGTGCAAGTCGGTGGTGGGCGTGCACCCATCTGTTTCAGTGTTCATTGAGGTTCACCATCATCCCGTCAGCGCAGGTCAAGCTGGCCGCCCTCCATATGAGAACCCCCTCCTCTCCAGCCGGCCAACTCACGCCCCCCTCCGCCATTCGCTGCTTCCGCTGCTTCCCCCCTTGAACGCCCTGCGCACACGTGTTCGCTTCCCCCGCGACACCGCCGCAACCCTCTCGCGCGATGATCTTTCCCATGCTTTACCCTGTACGCGCGCAAATGTGCGTGTGCACGCTCGCGCAAGCGCACCCACGCACGCACCTGCAGGGCCTCTGGCTGTGTGGCGTAGAGCGCCTGCAGCTCCTTCACGCGCGGCTGCAGCGCCTGCAGCGCCAGAGACGACTGCATCTGTGCAGCAGCAAGTGATGAAGCAGAGGCCGGGGGAGTGGGGACGGGGGGCGCGGCCCGTGATGTGGGGTCGGGGCGGCGGGCGCCGCGCTGCCCGGCCGGACAGGCAGCCGTGGTTGGTGCGGCTGCCCATCACATGCGTGGCAGCTGCGAGGCGCGGGGGGTTGCCCGGCTGTCGAAGTCAAGGATCGTGTTCTGGAATTGGTGGGGAGGCGTCTGCCGTCGACTGGCGCAGGCGCGCGCGCCCGCGCAGCTTCAGGGCAGCCGTGCCCATGTGGGCATACACGCGCTGTACGCACTCGCAGCCAGGCGGACGGAGCCCGTACTCACCGATTTTTGGCTCAGGGGAAAAGTGGCGAGTTTCACGAGGATTGTCAGCAGGATGATGGCGAAGCCATAGCTGTAAGGCACGTGGGCGCTCTCAAGGGCGCTGTCTAGGAACGCGAGTATGGCCTCGAAGCCGTCTGTCAGCCAGCCAAACCAGCCGCCGTCGTCCTTGGGGGCCGCGGCGGCGGCGTCGTCTGCCAAGAGGTGCAGCGCCGGCGGCAGGCTGCGGGCGTGTGCGCGTGTGCGTGCCGGGCGTGGTGAGAGGCGGGGGGCGCGGGCG